TGCTAACATCCACCTGTCCTTTCCTTAGAGAAGGAGATTGGTTTGAGTCTTGAGACACTCAGGATCCTGATTTTCATATTTCAACCTGAATATGTCATTATCAGAGTTTACAGTTTGCCATACAGGAAGCATTGTTTCAATCTCATAGCCTGTTTCAATAGACTGTTTGAATTGTTTCAGTCTCATAGTCTCAGCATGGCTCCTCATGTATACCAAAAATGTGTAGCAGAAGTGGCAGGAAACCATCTATTTATCCAAATCTAAACAATTGGCTCCTAATGGTTCATTCAAGAAACACAACATCAAGGATACTTTGTTTTACTAGGCCTATGCATCAATTGGGGAAATGTTTTTTCCTATCCTGAACCTTGTAGTTTATTGATATAACGCTGGACTCTAGTAAAGACCAGTGCCAGGCTACTATCATTCTTACTTGACAAAGCATCCATTGTTAACTGCACAATTTCAGTGGCCCTTAATTATGATGCCTCCAATCCATGAGTTATCTTGAGTTTCTGTAGGAGGTATCTTCTTTTGCTGTTATAGGTGATCCTGGAGAGGGCAGGGTCCAGGTTTTCTCTGTAAATGTGACGTCCCCCTCCTACTATATTAGCAATAATGGTGGCATTCCCTGCAGTGCATGCCAATCCAATTGTAATTGGATTCTTATAATCATATATTCATAAATATACAAAAGAAACAAAATAGCAAATCAGTTGTTTTATTGGAAAACTTAAATGAGATGTGAAATATATTCTTTCAATTGATTTATTGGGTCCAGTTATAATTTTTTTCTTATTTTAGGAACTGCAATGTAAATAATAATTGCCAAAAAATGCAGAGAGGTAATACCTTCAGTTAAAACACCTTCTGAATCTAGATGTGGAATTAGTGAGATAATATGCTTATATTAGCTACTTATACATGACTGTTGGAACATACTTAAATTTGGTGTTTAATACATAGGAAGGAATAGAATAAATAATTGGAATTTCCCATATATAAGTGCAGATGAACATTGATTTTGGCATCTAAATATCATATTTCTATAGATTTATAGTTTATCCAAGAAAAATATTGTTTCTTGTGTTGGACATGTATGTATCTTTCTAAGAAATTTGTGCTGCTCAGAATGTAGTGTTGGTCTAAATGATGTATCCATATACTATAGAGGATCCCTTGGTTCTTTGAGGCTCATGCAAACACATTCACATAATTGTAATTCGTCAGACCCAGCAACTTGTTGGCAGTCTATCTAAACCAATCCAGTAAGATCCTACAAGAATGGCATTTATTCTCTGTCATAGCCATTCTCATTTTTGGGACTTCTCGGCACCCTTCAGTATCACCAATCATGCTATCTTACTGGACTGCCTAAGAGGGTTGGGCATTGGGGGCACTGTTTTGTAGTGCTTCTGCTCCTTCCTTGGTGGGCAGTTTCAGTCAGTGATTTGGATAGAGAAAGAGGTCAGCCCAATGGCCTCCAATACATGGAGTGCACAAGGGTTGATCCTCTCTCCCTTGCTTTTTAACATCTAGGTGGAGTTGCTAGGTAAGATCATCACCAGTTCAGAGTGCAGTTAAATAGGTCTATAAAACCCAACTTTAGATCACTACCCCTGGCAGCAGAAGAGATGCTGTTGATGTCTTATCCTGATGCTTGGAGGCCATAGGGGTCTAGAAGGGAGAGTATAGAGTGAAGCTGAACCTAAGTTACTGTTTTTACAAAGGAGTTATCTGTTGATGCTAGTGCTGTTTCTAGATGGGCAGCACTACCCATGAAAGAGCAAATTTGCAATTTGAGGTCCTTTGAGACCCACGACTCCTCCTCAAACACCAGATAGAAGCCATGGCTAGAGGACTCTTTGCCCACCTGCAGGCAGTTGAGACCAATTGCAGTCACACCTGATGCAGGAGGACCTGGCTATAGTAACAATTATCCTCATCCCCACCCTCATCACAAAAACAAGATATGTCCTTAAAAACTATAGGGAAACTACAACTACAACTCCAGAAAGTGGTGGCCTCCATGCTTGCCAGCTCCTGGAGATGGGAGCATATAAGACAGATTTTGTGGCCCTTGCATTGGTTACCAATAGGTTTCCAGATATAATTTGCAATGCTGGTATTGACCTTCAAGATTTGGCACCTGGGTGTCTACTGGAGTACCTGCTTCAACCAGAATCAGCCCAATCCATTAGATCTTGTAGAGAACAGCTGCTAGTTGGCCCACAGTGCCAGAAGATGAGCCCCAAGGCTAGGTGGAACTGCTCCTCTGTGGCAGCACCATTGCTTTGAAATCCTCCTCCCCCCGAAGATCACTCTTTCTATCATTATGTTGATGTTCTTATCATGGATATTTTAATTGCCATTTTTGTATCTTCTAAGCCACTGAGAATTGCTTGATTGCAGTGGGGCATAAGTAAGTTACAGATCTGCTCATGCCCAAAGTGAATGCCCAGCACAGTAGCTCTTGTACCACAATATACAACAAGAATAGAACATAAGGAAATGCTTCTCTGATTCAGTGGATAAGGACTACCATTTTATGTACTCTTTTCCTTCATGCAGAAAGACTGTACCCAAACTTCATCTAAACCACGTATCATTCACTCTTTGGTTTTCTCTGCTTCTGTTAGCTCAGGGATGATAGCTGGAAATGTTTGCTAAAACTGGATTTGGTATTAATGAAAGCAAGCCGGATTTGCCATCCAGAACTCCCAGACCTCATTATATAGCTTGGAAGATTCAGCTGGTGCAGACTTTATGTTTGAAATATTGAATGTTTTACAAGCAGTGAGGAACCCTCTACCTGGCACTTGTATGAGGCCAAATGCTGGTCGTTTTCAATATTTGTTAAAGACGTTGGGAGTAAATCCTGGTCAGTCACAATTGTTTCAATTAAATTTAATTGCATTGCAGAGGACAAGTTCCGTCTTTCATTAATATTTATTTAGTACAAGTATCACTTTCATAACTGGAATATTTTTTCTTTGTTTTTTTCACTTTTCCATAATATGCTTTCTGAAAAATCTTAAAAATCTGTGTCTATCATGGAAGGAGTTTTCTCCACAACAAATTCTCTTTGTAATTCTTTCTATACTTATGGGAAATAACATTTGGAGCTATGCTGATTTGTGTCTTTTATACTTTTTTTTTTCCTGGCAATTATCTTCATCTAGTTATCTAGTAAGCTAGAAGGAATTTGAAGCTATCCTTTATTTAATATGTTAATTAGAATAAAATTGTTCTTCATTGTGATTCAGCTTTTTTTACTTGATGTAATATCAAAGATTCATTTAAATCTGAATGTAATACTACTTTAAGAAGAGTCGAAGTAGCATCTTAAAACATAGGTTGTTTTTTTAGGGAGAGGACCTGTCATTCCCAAATTTTGGGATGTGGTTCCTCAGGACTTCCTCTTTAGCCAGGCCTTTTCATTTTAATTTATTAATGGTAAATTTAACAGTTCACTATTGTTTTTTGTTAGCCACCTTGATGCCTTACGAGCAAGATAAAAACTGGATTACTATAAGAACAATTCAGCCATCTACACTAACTCACCCACTGTCAGCTCTTCAGACCAGACCAGATCAGAAAACAGACTCCACTGGAAGACTAGCATTATACTTTGCTGAGATAGGCTATAATTACAGAATCTTGCAAACCTGATTGTGGTTTACCTCCCCTCCCTCTTATATTTCAGTGAATCAGAGAGGGATCTGCCTGGATCTGTTCTAAATACTGTCTTGTTTCCCAGGACTTTAGGAATGTTCCAGCCCTCTTTGCTCATACAGTGATTCTTGCCTATTTCCCTTAGGGTCTTCTCTCTGATCTCTATACCCACCTATCTTTTTATTCAGTTATTACTGAAAGGTGGAAGAAGCTCCAACTATAACCTTCAAGTTGAGAACATTCTTAAACGTACTCTGCGTAGGTACAAAAACCCGTTCGTGAAGAGATGGCCATCTAAAGAGCTACAGTTTACAAGTGTGCACCTTGTTCTTGCTATCCTTCATCTGGGGAGAGATCTTTTTTTCCAGGCACCCTGCTTCACATGGAATGGTGCGGGGGAGCTGATGGAACATATCCCAGAGCTTAAATAGCAAGTGGGAGAGAAATGAACCCTGCAGAACCCCTCAGCCTAAATTCCATGGGTCCAAACAAAAGATCCTTTGTGCTAATCTTTGATATCAGTGCTGTAACTTTTTCAATAAAGGCGAACAGTCTACGAGTGAAAGCTATTTAGTGCTATGCTGAGGATAGAAAGCAGTCTGGAATGGCTCAAACAAACTTCCGTAAATCCTCAGTCAACTTGAACTTCAGTACTGTATATCTTGAGGGCACCAGATATGGGTGGGTGTAGTTGTATCAAGAAGCAGGACTATCCTCACTTATTACTATAAAAATGTGTTTCATTAAAATTATAGTACATTTAGCATGAAATGAAATAACAAGCTGTGTTAAGACAAAAAATGAATATATTCAGATGTTTGTGAATCCTGTTTCTAAAACCTGCATGTGAATCTTTCAGAAACAACGCACTTGTGATTGTCAGTTAAATTTTGATATTCAGTTTTCCCATCTATATTTTTGTGGAAATATAGTCACTTTCCCATCATAATTTTATTTCTGAAATGACTGAAGCTGGATACTTCCAAACTTCTCTTATCTGTGTCTCAGTGTAAGCATTCTTAATTGTCCAACTGTAGAATTCAGAGTTCTGTAGAATTCAGAAACTATTAATTTTAATTGGACTTATGGCAATTTTAGTTTAAATGCCACCATTTTTTCTTTGCTATTACTTTTAATAAACTATGGAAATGTTCTCCATAAAACAAAAATGACTCAGTTGTAACTTTTGCCAAAGTTATATAAAGTCATTGATGAATCTAAGATTCTAGCTTGTCCTTTGAGAACCCAATTAACTCCCATTCTTATTTAATGCTTCTCTTTAAAAGGCTGGCTTATACTGATGACTTTTTCATTCTTTATTTCAGTTATTGTAATGGGTGCATGCTGGATCCAATGTGTGGGTTTTGCTATAAACTGAACAAGTCAAGTGTTGTCGAGTCCTCTTGTTCTCCAGTTAGCAAGAAATCAACAATGGAAGCAGCTTGGGGCAGGTATGTTGCTTTTATATTGCTTAATTTTATAAGAAATACTTCAATCTACTTTTGAAAGAAGTACTGCTGTTACATTAGTTTTCAGAAAGGTATTTTTTCATTATATTAATAATGTGCGCTACGGGGTCCCCTTTGTCAAAAAAAAGATTTATCATTTGGCCTTCAGTAAAAGCACTGTAGGATAAAATCAGTTGTAAGTGCTGATTTAAAGGTCACATCATGCTTCTTTTTTGAACATCAGTGGCAAGAGGTTTTGGGAGGGTACCAAATCTTTCTTAATTGTATTATGCCAAGATTCAGCCGTGTCTTGAAAAAAGCTGGTGATAGAATAAGGGTAAAATAGTAAGACTACTTAGTGTTACTATGTAGGTGCTGAGTGCTATCATAGAAAATGAGGCAAACATTGTGATACAGGAGCATATCTCGTACAAGATAACATGTGCTGTGCCTAATAATGTTTATTTGAAAATGTGGAGGAGTTATTTTTGTATAACTTTTAAAATCTATAATGTTGACTCTAAAAGCTTATATAGACACAGTTTTATTATTACAGCCAACAGACCCCAAATTTTGAACATGAAAACCAGTAATATAGTGTATAAATACAACACATCAGTGACCCATAATAATAAAAAGCTTAAGTGTAGTTGAGGTGCGCCTAGACATTCACTTTGGTTAGTCTAGGATATTATTCCACAACTTTTTTGATGTTTAACTTTTTTTTAATACTTATATGAATAAACGATATAGCTCAAGGGACTGGTGTATGATTAATGCAGACCTGTTATACATTTGGGATTGGTGCTGAAAACAGCAATTGCATGTGACAATCATGTGACTTCACTCCCTTCCCAACTTATTTGATGTCGTGACTTTAGTCTAATAAGTTTTTTCTTTATTACTAATTACCCACACTGGGGATAGACAGACAGATAATTTTGAAACTATCCTGAACTTGAAGTCATGTGTGTCACACGTTAGAAGAGAGTAACAAACTTTGCATAGGACTTCATTTTTAATGGGAGATATATTTTATGCTGTTTAGTGCTGCTAGTTAAAGATCCTTTAATCAATTCAAAGTCTATTTGCTTTGTGTATGGGAAACTCCAGCATTTTTATTATATTAAAAGCTGTTTATTTGTCTTAATTTTATTACTGAGATTGTCTCTGGTGAATATGATGCTGTAACATCCATAGAGAAAAATTGGGCAAGTATTGACATTATTTTTGTAAGACTGAAGCTTGAACTATACTTCATGGTACTCTTAGATTAAATTTTAAGCCAAGTTTTATTCAGATATAGAGAAATAAATGCATTGTTTTATACACACATACACATACACAAGCTCTCTTGTATGTTATCTTGCTAACACAAATCCCTTCTGCTTCTGTGCCACTTTTTCAGTGGGGTTGCTTCATACTAGTCATGAACAATAACATTCATCTATGTATCTACTCAGAACTAAGTCTTATTCAGTTCTATGAAAATTACTCCCAGGTAAATGGGAAAGGAATTCACTATCCCTCATTTAGTATCCAACAGCATCACTTATAATGGAAATATAACACTAGTTTTCGTTTGGTGACAATCAAAATTTAACATGATTTTTCTAAACTATTGTTCTATTAATTAGAGAACTTTCCTGCTCCAAACAGAATAACTTTGTCATCTTCTAATTCCATTCTCTTTTGTGCAGCTGATACTCTTTTCCATTGCAGGAAGCTTTAATCACTGCTTTATTTCTCCTGTCTTTTGTTTTTATTGTTAAATAACTTTTGTAATGAATTTTTCCTCAGTCAGTCATTGTTAGGGCCACACTGAACAGGAATTACTAGAGTCTGAACTTGCAATGGAGAAGCTTTAATTAGACACACAGGGAACTTTTGCTGAATGCAATGTAATGTTGATTGCATGTTATAGAAGGCCCTTGAAATTTATGATTGGTTTTTCACATAGTGCCATCCAGCTGACTGTGGAGGAAAAACAGTGCCTTGGCACTGCCAAGGAACTACAGTGGAAGCCATTAAAATTCCCTTTTTTAAAAAAGAGGATATAATAGAATTCACACTGGAAACCTTGTCATCAGTCCAACCAACCAAAAATATTTTTTGATAGGTTAAGAATAGTATTTCATATTTTTCATGAGATAGTAAGTTTTACAGTTATGTCAGAAGGTGGTGAATAATTCATTTCAGAATCTAATAGCATTTTTCAAATTCTGAATGTCAGTTCCAGTAGAAAGAAATTTCATTCTGTAATGGCTAATGGAAAAATTCTTCTTTGCACCCAAGGGAGAACTAAAGCAGAAGCACAAAAGAGGTGTCAGAAAATGGCTATAATATAGAATTTAATTTAATTTCAATACTCTGGGCGGCTTACAATTTAAAAGAATTAAAAAAAAACTTATCAAAGAAAAGGAAGTACAGCCAACTGGAAGACCAGTCCCATAATACCAAAAGGATATTACAAAAAAACCCAAAGGGGCTTGACCACCATCCTAACCCATGTCCTGGAACAACCACCAGGTTTTCAACGATTTGTGAAAAATCAGTAAGGTGGGAGCAGTGTGGATCTCCAGGGGCATATAATTTCAGAGGGCACAGGCCAACACCGAAAAGGCACACTTCCTGGGCCCTGCCAGATGATATCGCTTAATCAGTGGACCTGAAACACACCCACTATAGCCGATGTCGCCAGCCAAACAGAAACATACTAAGTACAAGTCACATGCAAAATTAAAAATTATAGCCAAATGTTTAATATGCTGCCTAATTTAATATCCTATTTATTTAAGGCCCAAATGACATTGATCGTAAGACTTTGAGAAAAGCTTAGTCAGTGTTATTGATTCAAGATTAAATTTACTCTCTTGACTCATGTTGCTAAAATGCTTCTCTGAGTCTGACATGGTATTCTGAAAGCTACATCTAGGCAGCTGGCCTAACACGAACGTCAAAAATTAGTTATCTTTTCCAAATGCTTGTTGTTCACATGAATGTGAAGAGCTACTCTTTGTTTCATTACACCTCCTGGCAATTGGAACTAACTCACCTCCCCCTTCTTTTTCCTAATAAACCGCTGTGCCGCACTACAATTTTCTTTATAGCAAGGAGTCATTTTCTTAACGGGTAATAGCAAGGAGCTGTTGCTGTGCGCTGCAACAAAAAGAATGGTGTACTGCAAGCTTATGATTATGTAGTCTCCTTTTTGTGATTTCTAGCAAGAAAATGAACCTGGAGGAAAGGAGGAAGCCAAGCCATCTCTAAATTCCTTTGGCAATGTTTTGAAGCTGTAGGACCCATTGCCAGCACCATTTCTGGACTGCTGAACTGACTGAATGATCAACCTAATCAGCTTTTTTATCTTCTTCTAAGGAAGCTGCAGTACTTTCCCTTAACATTTAAGCAGTAGAGCCATTGTTTTCAGTTCTAGTGCAACACAAACCATACGGGGAAAGTTGAGGTGGGAAAAGTTGGGGGAGAAGATAGGCGAATAAATGGTAGTCAAGAACTGGTATCCATTGAATTGTAAGGAGCTATGTAGCAACTATTACTTTTGTCTCAGACATAGATCCCCATATTCTTAATATTTACAATTCAGATCTTAAATGTGCCCCCTACTCCAAATTTTGGACCTTATTCATAGCAATAATGTTTTATTTTTCATCTTAGATAAAGGTTAGCACTCTGTTCCTCAAAGGGATAGCATTTCCTTGTAGCTCACCAGAATGACAAACGTCCAGAGTGTTATAACTAATGCCAATCAGTGTTGTTCTGTTACCAGGTACCTTCAGGAAAGTGACTTGAACTTCAGATCTTCTAATACACAATTACTAAGAGACTTTAAACAATCCCCAAAATGTGACTGAGAAAATCAGTGTCTTTGAGTGATTTCTTTGGGGAAATGGCAAAAAGAACAGAGATATATTAAAATATAATTATGTCATCTGTGGAAATTAGAACTCAAATTATAAATAGCAAAAAAGTGTAAATACATACCAAATAAAGTCTAACTTTCAAATTAACTAATCCCAAATGTCAACAACAAAACCAAAACTTGAGGCTTCAGTAGCTTGATTCCTTTAGTCTGCTTGGCATCTTCAGCAGTGAGAATATGGTCTGTTTTGGGAAGACCGTTTGTTTCTTTGTTGGTTTGTTGGTTTGTTTGGCAAATTGGGCCAAAAGACTGTGAGAAATGGTATAGGGAGTGGGGAGAATAGCTTTAAAAAGAGTGTTGGGAAAGAATAGCATTTTGGAATTTTGTAGAGATGTAGCTTTTGTTCTTAAGCAGTTTTAGGAGGGTAAAGAACTAAGTGGCAGAAAAGAAAGAGTGATGGAGAGTAGGAAGGGGGAAATATAGAAGTACAAACCAACTAAAATAGTAGCTGGGTTAGATTCTTGTTATGCTTCTTCTTGACCTGACTTCACTATGCAAAGAAAAAGACACGCATGCAGAAATGCTACACTTAAGGGAATTGAGGTTAAAGTATGAACAGACTCGATGTTGGAGATACAAGTCCTCCTGAAACAGAGAAGGTCCAAGGAGTCCTGATGCACAGGGGCAGACAACCTATTTAGACTAAGGGCCATACTTTCTGATAACCTGGTTGCTTGAAGGGGATGTGTCTGGTGATGTCATCATATGCCAGAATGAGCATGGCCAAAATGTTTAGTCCACTTTTACAAATGTCTTTTTAGGTTTTGTGAGGTTTTTGGAAGCAGTCTTAAGGGATCTGTTAAATTGCTTCCTAAATGGAGAAAACTGGTCAAATGTCTTGGAAGTGTTCAAGGTTTTTCAAACTCAAAACCCCCTAAAATGCAAAGTAGTCCAGATATTTTGATCTTGCCTCTGGGGGTTGCAGAGGGGGAAATGAGATTCCAAAGGTTGCCCCATCCTTGATGTAGTGCAAATTGGAAAGTGGAGACTGGCTGGGTCTAGCCCATCAAAGAAGAAAGGATTTTAAATGGAACACACAGATCTGAGATTTTTCCTCCTGCTT